TCCATCCTCTTCCACCTCTGCCCTCTCCACGCCTCCTCCCGATCCCCTCTCGTTTTGTCTAGGATCGCGTGGCGGACAAACTCCATGAAGGTACCCCTGATGCTACCTGCTCGTGGCGATTGCTACCCAAACACAGCGTGCAACTTGACTGAAAAGAAACTTGGCAACTGCACGGCGCGGAGAGAGAGAGATGAGGAAGACGAAAAACAAGCTCGAGCCCAAATGGCTCCTAAACGGTATCATCCTCCTCTCTTCCCTCCTCTCATCTCCTCTCCTCCTCCCTTCCTCTCACCGCTCTTCAACGCAACGGACGCGGGGACCAGGAGAAACGGAGCCTGGAGGTTCTTCGCCATCTACGGGCCCCCAGGGCGCTTCGAGGGTACCGGGGCCGTCCACAAGAGACTCAAGGGGAAAGACAAGCCCACGGGGGAAAACCATGGGGCCTAGGACTTGGCAGTTCTGAGGACCCCTTCCCCACGCGGCGGCATCTCTCCGTGCTCGTTCCAGGAAGCTGCAAACACACGGGGCTGGACCTGCACAGGGAACCGAGAGAGGGACGATCGCACCGGAGAGCCTATCCGCATATGCCCACCCCCTGGGGGACAGCGCCCGCACTGTGAGTCGGGGTGCCCCCCAGAGACGCGTGCGCCGTCAGGGCAGCGCGCAGTGAGGTGAGAGGTAGAGCGATGCAGGTGTTGCCACCGGCCAGGCCTGCACCATCGTACACAGGAACATGCACTTCCTACGCGGAGGGGCCGGCCCAACGGGCGGGCACCGGGCGAGAGCCTGCCTGCAGCACCCCTCCGGCAGCGCAGGGGTGCAAAACCCCTGCTCGGGGAGCAGACTCTTCGGAGATCCGCGCCCTCCCTCCCTCGCCCCTCGCCCCTCCATCCTCCCCATCCCTCCATCGCCGCTCCTCGTTCCTCACCCTCCTCCGCGCCTCTCCTCGTCCCTCCTCCCCCTCCTCCCTCGCCATTCCTCGCCCCCGTCCCCCTCCTCCTCCTCGTCCTTCCTCCCCCTCGTCCCTCGTCCCTCCTCGCTCCTCGCGCTCATCCCCGCCCGTCCTCTCCCATTCTAAAGGGCAAAAGAATACCAATCCCTGGGTGGGTCACCGGCCGATTGAAAATTGAAATATTCAATCGGCGACCTCAATCTTTGAGTTCAAGACCTCGGAATTTATTCGGCCGACACCACTTCAATATTGGAGTTGGAAGCCCCAAATTGAAATATTGAAAAGGTTCGGTTCTGGATTCCAGAATTGAAACATTGAAATGTCAATCTCAATATTGGGTTTTAGCTCAAGAGTGGGTTTCAAACACAATAGTGGGGTTTGAACTCCAATATTGAGCATACGAGGCCCTAGGCCGGGCCAGAGGAGGAAAGGGAAAAGCTCGCACTTCCCAGGGGCGAAACAACAGGCAGAGTGGGGGAGGGGGAGGAGGTGGAGGAGGAGGAGGAGGAGGAGGAGGTGGGGAGGAGGAGGAGGAGGAGGAGGAGGAGGAGGAGCAGGGGAGGAGGTGGAGGAGGAGGAGGAGGAGGCAGTGGCATGAAAAGCACGCCCCGCCCAAAACAGTCCCCCGAGGCGTTCGGCGACTCTTTTGGGCCCGCCCGCCACGAACAGTCCCCGAGAGCCGTGGGTGAATGTTTTGGGCGGGGCGGAGCCCCGTGGGCAGGACACGAAAGCACGACGCAGCTCTCGCGGTAGCAGGCGCTTGCCCTGGCCGACCCGTCGGGTCGGGCGGCCGGGACCTTAAAGCACGACGCAGCTCTCGAGGTAGCGTGCGCTTGCCCTAGCGGGCTGGTCGGGTCGGGCGGGCGGGACCTTAAAGGTTGACGCAGGCTCTCGAGGTAGCACGCGCTTGCCCTGGCAGACCCGTCGGGTCGGGCGGGCGGGACATTAAAGCACGACGCAGCTCTCGAGGTAGCGTGCGCTTGCCCTAGCGGGCTGGTCGGGTCGGGCGGGCGGGGCCTTAGACGCAGCTCTCTAAGTAGCACGCTTGCCCTGGCCGACCCGTCGGGTCGGGCGGCCGGGACCTTAAAGCACGACGCAGCTCTCGAGGTAGCGTGCGCTTGCTCTAGCGGGCTGGTCGGGTCGGGCGGGCGGGACCTTAAAGGTTGACGCAGCTCTCGAGGTAGCACGCGCTTGCCCTGGCAGACCCGTCGGGTCGGGCGGGCGGGACATTAAAGCACGACGCAGCTCTCGAGGTAGCGTGCGCTTGCCCTAGCGGGCTGGTCGGGTCGGGCGGGCGGGGCCTTAGACGCAGCTCTCTAAGTAGCACACGCTTGCCCTAGCGGGCCGGTCGGGTCGGGCGGGCGGGACATTAAAGCACGACGCAGCTCTCGAGGTAGCGTGCGCTTGCCCTAGCGGGCTGATCGGGTCGGGCGGGCGGGGCTGTAGACGCAGCTCTCTAAGTAGCATGCGCTTGCCCTAGCGGGCCGGTCGGGTCGGGCGGGCGGGACATTAAAGCACGACGCAGCTCTCGAGGTAGCGTGCGCTTGCTCTAGCGGGCCGGTCGGGTCGGGCGGGTGGGACGTTAAAGGTTGCCGCAGCTCTCTAAGTAGCACATGCTTGCCCTAGCGGGCCGGTCGGGTCGGGCGAGCGCCGGGTCGGGCGGGCGGGACTTTAAAGTCGGACGCAACTGGCGAGGTAGAACGATCTTGCCTTTGTGGACCGGTCGGGTCGGGTCGGGCGGGCGGGACATTCAAGTCCTCTCGCATACTTCCCCGCGCGCTTTCCTCCTGCAACCTCTCGTTCTCTTTGCGGTTCCGCTTCCGCTGCCATGCCGGGGAGGGAGAAGGTAAAGGTAAAGGCCCGTGGGGGGTCGGGGAGGGAGAAGCAGGAGGAGGAGGAGGAGGCGGAGGAGGAAGAGGAGGAAGAGGAGGAGAATGAGGAGGAGCGAGGATGTGGAGGAAGGGGAAGGAGGCGGGAGGACCTCCCCAAGAATATTTTTCGCCACGGGCGCCCGGCCCAAAACAGTCACCGGAGCCTCTTGGTGACTGTTTTGGGCGGGCGTGGACTTAAGCGATGAAGATCTGCAGCAAACGGAGGAGAGAGGAGGAGGAGGACGAGGAGGAGGAGGAGGAGGAGGAGGAGGAGGAGAGGAGGACGATCTTTTTCGCCACGGGCGCCCGGCCCAAATCAGTCACCTGAGCCTCTTGGTGACTGCTTTGGGCGGGCGTGGATTTAAGCGATGAAGATCGGCAGTAACCAGAGGAAGGAAGAGGAGGAAGAGGAGGAGGAGGAGGAGGAGGAGGAGTTGGAGGAGTTGGAGGAGTTGGAGGAGGAGGAGGAGGAGGAAATATCCATCTAACCTCCGCTTTCGCAAGCCAATCGAAAGTCCAATATTGGACTTGCCAACCCCGGAATTGAAAAACCCCAATATCGGGTTTCGGACACCCCAATATCGGGGTTGGAACCCCCATATTGGACCAAGACCTCAGCATTGAACCCCACGATTGGGAAAGGGCAATATGTCAATCCGGAGTTTGACAACTCCACTTTTGGTTTTCTTCAATACAGGAGTTTGGGAACTCCAATATTGAAGGTGGGGGTTGATCTTTTTCAATTCCGGAGTCGAAACCCCAATTTTGGGGACCCACCGCGGGTGGCGCTGACAAAAAAAACACCTCCATAATAACCACCCCGACACGCGAAGCCGTGTACTAAACGCCCCCACTGAAGGAATCGAACAGGGCAGGGCTGTTCAGTGAACGCCCAAGGCCGTTTAGTAAACGCCGATCGTCCGGTCCGGGGGGTTCTTCCTCCCTCGACACCCCTCCATCGCCCCTCCTGAGCCCCTCCCCCATCGCCCCCCTCGCGGGTCGGTAGCGGCGCCGAGGGCGGGGACCGGGGGGCGTGTTGCGGCCTCGGCCCGTCGCGGCGCGGCATGTGCGCCTCTGCGGCTTCAGCGAGGGCCTCCTCCTCCTCCTCCTCCTCCTCCTCCTCCTCCTCCTCCTCCTCCTCCTACTCCTCATCCTCCTACCCCTCCTCCTCCTCCTCCCTCCTCCTCCTCCTCCTCCTCCTCCTCCTCCTCCTCCTCCTCCTCATCCTCCTCCTCCTCCACTCCTCTTCCTCCTCCTCCCCCACTCCTCCTCCCTCCTCACTCCCACTCCTCCTCCTCCCTCCTCCTCCTCCTCCTCCTCCTCTTTTCCTCCTCCTCCTCCTCCTCCTCCTACCCTCCTCCTTCCTCCTCCTCCTCCTCCTCCTCCTCCTCCTCCCACTCCTCCTCCTCCTCCTCCTCCTCCTCCTCCTCCTCCTCCTCCTCCTCCTCACTCCTCCTCCTCCTCCTCCTCATCCTCCTCCTGCTCCTCCTGCCTTGCCCTCCTCGGCCTTGGCCTCGGCATTGCTCCCAGACCCTTTTGCGAGCGCATCGTCGGTACATGCCTGCTTAGAGGTGAGACAATGTCGAGCTAAGTCCTAACTCCACGCGTTGCCTTAACCAGTAGCCCCGCGGTCCAGATCTACAGAGCGAGCGCCCAGAGTCCACTCCAGATTCCTGCTCCTCTCAGGCGGAACCTGGAGTCCATAAGAGCCGGTGTTTCTGTTTGGAGGTTCCAGTCGGCTCAGACGAGCCCCGCACTGGACGAAACGATGGCCCGGTGTTGGCCCGAAACCGATCGACGTGCTCTGCTCGTCCAGCTCGACTCTCTGAAACCCGATCGAGGCGAGGCGGCGCGGGCGCCTGCCGAGGGGTGGCCGCAGAAGGGCGCCCAGAGGCCCGCGGTCCAGAAGCGGCCCACGGGCGCCGAAAACGACTGAAGTGCCACTGTTGGAGGTCTGGGTGCCCTCCTCTCCCTCCTCCTCCTCCTCCTCCTCCTCCTCATCCTCCTCCTCCTCCTCCTCCGCCCTCCCCGTCCTCCTCCCCATCCTCTATCCTCCGCCTCCTCCTCCTCCTCCTCCTCCTTCCTCCTCCTCCTCCTCCTCCTCCTCCTCCTCCTCCCCCTTCTGCTCCTCCTCATCGTCCTCTTCCTCCCCCTCCTCTGCTCCCTCATCCCAGGGACTCCGGTTTGTAGTCCTGGATCGTTTGGGGGGAGAGTGGGCGACGCACAAACAGGGATTGCGCAAGAAGGGCGGCCGTCTAAGCAGGAGGGAGGGGGCTCCTTTTTGGAACTAAGCTATCGGCGTGGAATCACCCGAATCTGCTCGGTTGAGGGTCCAGCCATCAGCAGACGTGGGAATTGCCCAGACCCGCGCCGTGTGGGCAGCACAGCAGCTCGTACTCGGTGTGTACGGCCTCTCGCCGGTGGTGACTATGCTCACCCTGAAGTCCGACGTAGCGCAGCAGCGTGCGAGGCACGTCTCCATGATTGGCTGAGAAGTACAACGCGAGCGAGGTCACTTCGGAGAAGGCAGACACGCGCGTCGTAAGCTCAGCATCGCCTTTTGTGTTCACCATTAGATCGAACTCCTGGGTGGCCTCCATGTCGCGAACGTTGCCGAAGTCGATCTCGTGGCGGTTCACGAAGCAGGAAAGGCGGCTCGGGTGCGCAGCGAGCTCCTCGTCACCCTCGACCTCGCTTTCCCCGCCGCCGCCCACGATGAGGATCTTGCGGACGCGTACGGGCGAGGTGAATCTAAGCACGAGTAGCAGCTCCTCATCAGCGTCACTGGTGAGCCAGGGCTGGCGCAAGAAGCGGCGCTCATGCGGCCGCAGCACAGCGGCGAGTGAACCTCTCGTCGCGACCTCGCCCGCAGATGCCCCAGCGACGGTGGCATTCAGCACGGCGGAAGACTCAGTATCGATATGCTGGTAGAGGTTCCAATTGTCATCAGGGAACTCAGCGTCATGCGATTGCGCACAGTAGCCTACCATTACCGGGCATCAGCTAGCTGTACAGCTCTGGCCAGGTGGACGGAATAATTCAAGCCAAACCATACAAATCCCATGTACCTCGAGCCGAAAGATCTACGGAGAAAGTGGGAGCTTCTTACGTGGAATGCAGAGGGGGGCTTCTTCGACGAGCCCAAGGGCTTCTGAGAACGCTTCTTGGAAGCCAAGGGGGAGGGGAGGGGCCTTCTCAGAGGGTCACCTGCCTTCTTGGACCCCCCCCCTCCCCAGCCGCCCTCTGCGAAGGCCGCCCACCTCGTGCGCCGTCTCCTCGTGCGCGCCACCAGTGTGGCCGCGGAGGGGCGCGGTGGCGGCAGCCACCGAGCGGATCCCTAGAGGTCTTTGCAAGGGCTCCCAACTTCGCGCTTCGCGCTGCGCGAAGCGCGAAGTGCGAATAACTTCGCGCTCTCGCGCCGCCTCCCAGGGAAGAAGAGGAGGATGAGGAGGAATCGGAGCCGAAGTGCGAAGCGCGAATAACTTCGCGCCCTCGAGGGCGCCCTTGTCTTTGGCCCCCCGATGTTTCTTCCGGCGGGGGGGGTCGGCACACAAATCGCAGCTGGAGCCATCGTGACATCACCGACCCGGGTGCGCCATGAAGGGATATGCGCGCAGGAAAGGCGTGGAAGGCTCGCGCGAACTTGCAGCAAACAAAAAGAGAAGACCCTCCTTCTCCCCCCCTGTTGCCCTTCGGGGTGGGGGTGGGGAGGCGGCTCGTCGCGGCGGCCGGGCACGCGTCAGGAGACTGGCAGGGAGGGAGCCCGACCGGAACGGAGTTTGCCCATACCTCTGGAGACCCAACGAGAACAGCTCCATCATTTCTGTTCGCCATTCTTGCCATCGTGGCTGCTCCCAGGCCCAAGGGCACACAAGAAGACTCCTCGGGATGAACATCTAGCCCCGTGAGTCGAGACCTGCCTCCCGGGTCGGCGACTCGAAGAGATCGGGATTCCGGAGGTCCGGGTGCTCATGTTGCACAGAGGCTGGTCAACAGGACCGTCGCGCCGTAACACGTGCAAGCAAATTAAAAGAAGAGCCTGAAAGCGCGTGCCATCGTTACACCGATGCAAGCAAAGACGATACGGTCAACATGTGGTGTGGAGACAGCAGGCATGGAGGTCTGGAACCTCCTCCTTCTCCTCCTGCTCCTCCTCGCGATTCCCATGAGAAGTTGCAGGAGAAAGGTCTTTACCAGTGAAGGGTTCTGGGAAGTGCCTCCTTCACGCCCTCCTGATCTTCCTGCTGCTGCTCTAACTCCTCGCCCTTCCCTCCTTGCCTCATCGTCTGCTCCTTCTTCGCAAGGCTCACGGATGAGCCTCAGGAGATCTGACGAGGTCAGGTCCCTGGAGGCCTCGGGCTTGGAGGTCCCCAGAAGCCCTCGGAGACCCAAAAGGGGCCAAGAACGTCCAACAATCTCTATCCTCAAACTTCGATCCTTCCACTCTGGAATGGCATTACACCACCACCGCCATCCCTGGCAAGGGCCCATCGTGGCCCCTGACAACAATCCTCGTACCTCTCGCTTTCCTCCCCCCAGACGGGCACCCGACGTCGCGCTTCTTTCGCAACGCGCCCCGGGGAGTCTCGGCCCCTTCCTCGGGACCTGTTGTTCACCAGCTGCAAGCAAGAGTGACCTCCTGCCGGAGTGAGCTCTGGTGCGTTGCCCAACGAGGGACGCGGGGTGGCCAAACCCAGGGTCGCAGGCCGCTGCCGCCGCTTCGCGTTCGCGCTCCGCGATCGGGGGACCCCGTTGGGCCCGCACCACAGGTCCCCCGGGCAAAAGGCCACTCTGATACGTCTACTCGATGTCATTGAAGGAGCCCCAGGACACACAAATAAATACACACTAATAAAAGGATTCCCCATATTTTCCCATAGTCTCTGGGTTTTTGTCTTCCCCACCGCACTTCCCATATTTTCCTATATTTTCTGGGGGATCGACGATTAATTGTGTCTGTGTGTTTCTTTCCCTCCTGAATCATACGGATATGTCTGGGCTGCAGGCCCCGGGCCCCGGCAAGGGGCTCCCGGGAGCAGAAGATGGGCAGGCGCGTTCCGCTACTCCCAAGGTCACCACTCGCACGTGGTTTGGATCCGCTGCGGGGGATCTGCGATATGTTACATCGAGGCGAACGTGGGCTTTTCGGACGCTTGCGAGTAGGCGCGTTGCGAGTAGTGGCACGCGCTCGGCGAAGAAAAAAACACCGAAACCCTCCCGCCGAAACTGTGCCCCGCAACGCGCGCGGAGGCCTGGGCCGGTCGGGTGGCGCACCGGGCCTGCGCCGCCCGAGCGAAGCCGGTGTGACGTCCGTCGGGAGAGCCAAGACGAGTCGAAAGGCTGGGGCCAGGTCGGACCTGTCACCCTACAGGGGGAACTGGGGCGAAAAATCCCGAATCCCCCCCAAAAGATGTCCCACGAAAACTATTCAGAAAGAATCAGGAAACGGTCCCCGTTCTGATCTTTGACGATTTGGGAATGTTCTCCCGGTAGAGGGACATGCCCGACCGAAGGCTGGGGGGCGTCCACGGACACATCGGGGAAGTCCGGGAAGCAAGTCGGCCGAAGCCCACGGCTGGACATGAAGGCCCAGACATCCGGCGCTCCGCTCCGATCTGTTGTGACGCGGGGGCCCCAGGACCTCTCGACCGCTTCCCCAGGCCTGGCCTTCCAATCCGAGACGTGGCCTGACGGCCCCGAGGCCCGGAGCCGGCCTCCACGGGCCCCAGAACTGCTACGCGCCCGCCGCCTCGAGTGCTTCGAGGCGCCAGATGCCTGCGGACCCTGCGCCAGCCGACCAGCCTGGGCCTCCGAATGGAGCGCCGTCCTCGTCGCCGTCGTGGGGGCGGCTGCGGCGGCCTCGGCGTCCCGGATGCGCGCCTGCAGCGCAGACGACGGGTTCCTGGCGCTGGTGGTGGGGCGGGGTCCGCGACGAGGTCCGCTGCGCTGTCGACGGCGGCGAGGTCGAAGACGACGACGACGACGACGACGACGACGACGACGACGACGACGACGACCAGACCAGCACCGACGACGAGAACGACGAAGAGGTCGAGGAGGAGAAGGAGAAGGAGTCGGAGGAGGACGTGGACAAAGGCGTCCTCTTGGAGGACGGCGGGAATGGGATACGGCGCCCTCCAGAGGGCTTCAGCGTGCCCATGGGGGTAAGGGAGGGGGGGGGAGGAGGGGGATGGGGGAGAGGGATGGGGGAGAGGAGGGGGGGGGGGGGGACCCTCCGCCTTGGGAGGTGATGCGGAGAGAAGCAAGGGACGACGTGGGGGTAAAGAAGCGGCAGCGAGGGGGGGGGCATCCTCGCCCCTTCCAGGCCCTTGTCCATGACTTCGCTCTGCACCTTCGGGTCGCATCGCCTCCGGGCGCAGGGGAGCCACAAAGCCGCCAGGGGACTGTCCCCGTCAGCTAGAGCGGGAATGCCCAGGCAGGTGCGAGAGGCAATCAAGCGGCGCGGTGCTCAGAGGGCCATTGCCAGGGCGAGTGCAGAAGCTGGTGTAGCATATTACTGCGATGCTGGTGCGAAAGTGCGTCTCAGGTGATCTCCCCACTGGGCTAGAAGGTCTAAGATCTGTTCGAGGGACCTTGGAGCCCGACCAGCCCGCTGGGCGTACATCGTACAGCGGTTCAGAGTGCCAGCTCTCTCGGGGCAAATCCTCGCCATCTCCTTCCCATGCCAAGAGCTGTCTCCAGACCAAAGATCAGAAAGGTCCTCGAGCGCTATTGCGGCCGCGAAACCTCCACAGAGATATTCACACCAGAAGGCTAACACAATGCTAATACACGAAAGCATTCAGGCCCTCAGACCCTCAGAACGTTGGGTCCCAAGATCAGGATACCTCAAGACCAGAAGAATCCAGCACTCTGGATCCGCCCAACCATCAAGGCACACGAGGTCCCAAGGTCTCCAGGCTCTGAAGCCCTGATATTGCCCCCCATGACGCAGAGACCTAGAAATTAAAAAAGACCGATGCCTTATGATCCTGACGCCACGAGGCCACAAGACTTGAACATCTCAGGGACCAAGGCCTGCGGCCGTGAACCTCCTCTTCTCCTCCTCCTCCTCCTCCTCCTCCTCCTCCTCCTCCTCCTCCATGGTGCGTGGGGGATTTGGTAACCAAAACAAGTATCTGGCACCCGAGTCTAGAGCGATAGCACGCGGCTGCAAAGGCCCATAAGCGTGCAGAGCAACACCCGTCCGAATAACATCACGTCCGCCGATGGACCCACTGCCACCGACGAGGAAGAAGGATGCCAACGCGCCGACCCCGAACCTCTTTCTGCGCCAGCGGCCGCGAGAGATGGACGAGGAGGAGGAGGAGGAGGAGGAGGAGGAGGAGGAGGAGGAGGAGGAGGAGGAGGAAGAGGTAGGAGGGGAAGGCGGGAGGAGGAGGATGAGTGAGGAGAAGGAGGAAGAGGGGAAGGGAGGAGAGAGGGATGAGTTGGTGCGGCGAGGAGGAGGAGAGGAGGAGGAGGAGGAAGGGGAGGAGGGAGGGGAGGACGAGGAGGAGGAGGAGGGGGGGAGGAGGAGGAAAAGCAAAGAGGAGGATGGAGATGCAAGGGGAGGATAGGAGGTGGTGGGAGGGGGAGGAGGAGGAGGAGGAGGAGGAGGAGGATTATTGGAGGAGGAGGGAGAGGAGGAGGAGGAGGAGGAGGAGGAGGAGGAGGAGAGGAGGAGGAGGAGAGGAAGGAGGAGAGGAGAGGAGGAGTAGCGGGAGGGAGGAGTAGGAGATGGGAGCAGACAGCGCCCGGTGCACGGCGGGAGCGCCGGGGCACTCCCCCACACGGGCGGCTAACGAGGAGGAGAGGCGCCGGGGGAGGCACGCGCGGAGCGCGGGAGGGTGGGAGGAGGGCCTGCGGGGGGAGCAGAGGGCCACGCTGTGGCGGCGCGCAGGAGGGGGGAGGGAGGAGGAGGAGGAGTGGATGGTGAGGAGGGAGGATAGAGGAGGAGAAGGAGGAGGAGGCGGGCGGGTGAGGGGGATGAGGATGAGGAGGAGGAGGAGAAGGAAGAGGGAGGAAGGAGGAGGAGGGGGGGAGGGGGAGGAGGGGAGGGAGGAGGAGGAGGAGGAGGAAGGA